TTAAAAGTGATGTGGAAACAAGAGAGTCAGATAGAAAATGAAACAATGTGAGGAACAGAAACAGGTTTTGAGACTGGGAGCCTGATGGAAAGTGGTAGAGATCAGAGTGTAATCTGTTCCCAGGGCAGCTAAGGATCCTTTTTAAAGTCCCGGAGGTTTAAATAATTCCTTAAGCTCTGAGCACTTCAGGATCTCACAGACAGATGTGGGAATGAAACTATTGTTTTAATCATCACACTTCAGTCAGGCCAAGTCCAAATGCTCGGTACATGTCAAGTATGAGGGTTTCACACTTGAATGCAATGTTACTTTGGGGGCTTTTATTATTTATTTTAATAGTTTTTTTGTTGTTGTTGTTTTCTGGCTGGAATGCCACTTCAAAGATTTTTGCCTCTGGCATAATTCAGATTGTATATTTGTCCTCACTTTGTATTAAACAGCCTTGGTTTTATTTGATGGTTTCCTGACCTGTACATGCTGTTAATTCATTCACAATCTACTGAATATTTATTTGGTGTATAATAATTTAATTCTCCAAAAGTACCACTAAAATATCCGAATTACTATGTCACGATAACTGTATGTAAACCTCCGAACCTCCTTAATAGTGAATACATTATTCAGCCGATAAAGTGCACGACAAATTTTTTATCCTTTAAACCAAGCCAAACACATTTCATGAAAGCAGTGGGAACATCTGAAAAATGGCCTTTGCCTCCTGTAAATCCCAAAATGTCAACTACAATGAAGGCGCTAACATCAAAACTGGGAGCTATATGAATTCCACCTCAGTGATATATTACAAATGAGCATGAGTAAATGCGTCCTATTTTTCTCTCCCAGGAACTGAGGAGGCGTGTGCCGTGGCACGCAGCGAGCCCTCTGAGTAACACATCCACCATGATACCACTCGTGGAGAGATGTGGTCATTGTGCAGAGAGCCTCAGAGGCCCAAAACCAGCCAACCTTGAAGACCCAAGCTTTAGGTCTGCTCCAGACTCAAGTCTTTTCAGCTTCCAACAACACAATACTGACTAAATCCAAAAGAATGAAAGCCATTCATTACCAACTTCCCCATATACAATGGTGCAATAGTGTGAGAATGTGAAGAAAATGCTAAAGATAAGTAACGTTTTTTATGAATCATTCCCATATGCTTTCAACACCACAGGGATTGATCCCCAGAGGCGCACGGACATCGAATCATGGCTATTTCCACACGGACTTATTGATATTTCCACATAAATGCAGGCAAACATAGTAGTGAAAACGGCCAGTGTTACCACAGACAGCTTTCAGACATTTGATTGGGTTATCAGGCTGGCCAGCGTCAGAGGAAATACTGATAAATGAAGCTGCCATTTGTCTGTTTGCCCTTCATCACAGCAAATCCAGTTCACAGAGAAAAAATTATCTCCAGGACAATTACTGTGTCTTCCAGCCTCTAAAGATGCCAAGTGAGAAGCCGGTAACAGGACTGACCACAGGGAGAGTATGCTGATTGTTATTCCTTTGCTGCTTTGCTTGATTCCAAATTGCTTCAGTGCAAATCCTTAACACATACAAGAAAATACATAACTCGCAATATATAAAAAACTGTATTTGAAAAACACTATTGCTCAGATGTTTGTGCTGTGTAGAACAAACAATGCTGCAACATAATCCTCATAAAAAAGGAAGAATATGCAGTAGCCAGGGAGGGTGACTCACTCTGCTAGTAAACAAGTGTGGTGATCATTGTTGTTTCACATTAACATTAACTAATGCTCCATTTGAAACACACGAGTTCAGAACGGAACAGCTGATTGGTTTACAGGAAGGAAAAAGGGATTTGCTGTGACAGCAGCACTAAATTTTATGATTCAAATGGTTTTCTGACCTCAATCCTACCTAATCATTCTGTAGCCTGGAAAAAGATTATGTGGGTATAGATTATGCTTTTCACAATATGTGACATCAGAGATTAAATATATATATACAGTATATACATATATGTTGTTTATGGATTTTATTTTTAAATGACGTTTCTGTATATCTTCTGGTGTACGGAGGGAATCTCAGATGTTATTCTGACTCCTCTGGGACATGTTTTTTCTACCCTAAGAATCCCATGGCTGTGTTTGGGGGGGTTAAGGGATGAAAAAGAGGGAAAGAAAAGCCCATTGGTCTCAGCTCCACAGAAACAGCCTCCAGAGCCAAGCTGTCATCCCAGTTGGATTAAGGGCTCTTCATTGGTGGCTACTGAACGGCTAGCACGTTCTCTTTAGCCGGGGCTGGGCTGTGGGCGGGGTTAGAAGACGGATCAGAGGCCCAGGGCATCAGAAAAGCCTGGCCTAAATAAGATCTCGGGGTCAGAAAGACACGTGAACCATGGCAAATTTGTTTCCAAGTCAACTTCATTCATGATTTGAAAGCTAAAAGTTTTCCTCCTTCCTATTGATTCCCGGTCATATCTTGTGTGGGCATAATCTATGCCTTGGATTTGCTTATATCTAAAATTGCCTTCTCCTGTGACTTTACACGATGCAACATTCACCAACAGTTGAACAAGAACACAGATGCTTATAGTAGAAACACTGAATTTGTCATAAGCACAATTTGAGCTCTCAGTGATACACAAATGTACACAAATTTGTCTTCACCCCTGAGGCAAATGTGCAAAAAGCCTGAAAATAAATTGATCTTTTTATTGAAGAAGAATAAAATAACATTGAAATATTTAGAAAAGAAACTGTGCTTTAACTCAGTATGGGAAAAGACACTAATAGATGCTAATGCTAACTGCGCTAGTTGTTAATTATTCACTTTGTACAGTTTGTTGTACCCTAACAATTCTTTTAAAGTAAATGTATTTAGGGACGGCTGGTAGTGCTGGGCCCTCCCTGACAGGCGTCCAGCCACACCCCCTCAGTTTGCAGCTCATTGGGGCTAATTTTGGTCAGCCCAGGGCCAGCCCGCTAACACAGGATTCATCCAGTCAGGATGGACTCTCCTGGAGCTCCACTGTGCGTGGGCGTGGTTTGGCGTAGACTGAGAAGGAGCGATGCCGAGCAATATTTTTGATGAGAAAGTGAGATATATAATTTAAATTAAAAGCAAACAACAGGATGCTCTGAGTTCTCCTCATATTACAGGTTTTAAAAAGACGTAGATTGGGGAAACTGAAATACAAATTGTATGCATAGTGCTGGTGTCAATGCTGCACCACATCTGCAGTGGTCCAACACTACCAACTTCATAATTGAAATCTCAAAAGCTGTGCGGGATATCACTACCTCCCCTTGAGATCTATGAATAGATAAGAGGCAGATCAGAGGCAGCTTGTCTTTGCAGGTTAGGGACGAAAATGTTTCGGGAAAGAGGTTAGTGTTGAGGATGTAGATTAAAAAAACATAACAACCGCTACATGGCAACGAGTTGTTTGGGTGTGATGCCGAGAAAAAAATTTTCCTGTCCTACAATCACAAATATAAACATGTGGTGCAAAACCCTAACAAAGTTGTGTTTAGTCAGATGAGTTTAAAATTCAGCAAGTAATATTCTAGGTGAAATTGGTGAGAAACAACATGTGTGTTGGAGGATGTGTGAAACTGTGACTGAGTTTCTGTTTCAAAGGCATTAGGCACCTTTATAATCCTGTGAAACACCAGAAAAATTTCAAACATAAATCTATCTACTCTACCTCTGCAAGAAAATCCCAATGCCTCTCTTAATAGGGTAAAGATTAAAATACTTTACAAGCATGTATACAAATAAATCAACATGTTTAGCCAGACATTAAATCTACCTTGTTCCCTGGTCATCCTTTTCCCCACACCAAAAACTTATGGGGTCAGCTGACAGGAAGAACAAAACCAGGAGTCTGGACAATCTTGAGAGATTGTGCAAAGATGAATAGTCAAAGATTGCTCCATCTGAATAGTGTAATCTTCTAAAATGTTGTCAAAGAGTAAGTCTTGTTCTTTTGTTAAAAAGATATTGTAGTATTAACAGTAAGGGTGCCAAACATTGTGCCACCAGTTATTTTGTAAAAGGCGATAATTTCTTAATGTAGATATCTTTCCTCTCTAATTAATGTTAGACTTTTTTTCTGCATTTTTCAGTGAGACTGCGTAACTACAAAACAAGGCTGCCAACAAATTAATCTTCTTTTGTATTTACTGAGCTATTCACAATGCAAATGATATCGATGCCTGTGCCAACTTGGAGTGAGATATGTGGTGTAGTTTTTTTGTAATCTCCGTTCAGATTGAAGGAAGGATGGAGGCTTGAGAGCAGACCATTCCAGAACACACACGTCTTTAATGCCCCTGAATTTTGGACAGCGCATGACCCTGCCAGTGAAGTAATGCCCACCTCCTGTTGCCCTAAAGGCAGGAAAGGGAAGCACTAAGTGTTGTTATGTCCTGCTGCTGGGGCTCCGACAACCTCTCTAAACATCTGCTGCCCTTCCAAAGCTGGCAGGAGATTTAGTAGACCCAATGCTTCTCTGTGATGAAATCTGCCTTTCTGTCCCCTCTTCTTCAGCAATAACAATGTGTTCAAAGAGAGGCACAGCACCCGACTTTTTATTGTGTATCTTCTCCAGTGTATCCCCGACATCGGCCTTCTATCCACCCACACACACACACACACACACACACTCTCATCTGTGCACACACACAGCAAGGAAGAGGCGAGAAAAGCCGCTCCACCAGTACAGACAGAGAAAACAGGCCCCTTTTGTTCCCCTTGCCCCTTCTCAACATCGCTGGTGGTACATGATCTGCCCCTCCTCCCTGGAACACCCCGACAGCATCAAAACACTCCCCCATCGTCCCCCCTCACTTCACTGTTTCTCAACAAATACACCCTGGATGCACATTTTTGTCTCATGTCCAGTTCCTCATACTCCACTTTGTAAATCTGAATGAGACGACATTAAATTGAGACATGAATCAAAGCAAGATGACATGACATGCAGGGGCCAGAGAACATAAGCATAAAACCAAAACCATTACCTTCCGTTATCCTGGTGAACCAGTTCAAAAGACGGCTCTATTGACGTCCCCCCCAGCCCCCGCAGCTGGTCACAACAACAAAAAGACCATGTCTACACGTTATTACACCCCTTTACTCTGAAACAGGGTGAAAAATAACTTGACACATCTGATAATAGTGTTCCCTTGGCAATCCTGAGTGATTATGCTTGATGACTGTCATGCTGTAAAGCTCTGGTGCAATAATGTGGTCACAGTGGACCGACACGGGGCGTCTACACTGACCTTTACTCATGCACCATCTGTCAAGGCCCTTTTATTGGCCAAAAATAACACACTAATTTTAGAGGGAGAGGCCTTATTGAACAGGAGCTTGATAACTCACTTAGGACATAAAAAGTCCAGTTACTATTTCTAATTAATGATCTAAAGCAAGAAGATTTTAAACACGTTAGCATATACCTGTTGAGCAGCGTTTGTCCTCCCTCTGCTAATACTGGATCTAAAACTTGGTGGCATTTAAAAAACATTTCGCTTCCTGCACACGCAACAGCTTCACACGTCGGAGTTTTTTATTTTTTTATGTCAAGTTTAAAAATGTTCAAAAACTGCTAAAATTGTTCATTATCAATTCCCTACAGCTCAGAGTTCCTTAATATGTTGTATCTAAAGCAGCACAAAGAAAAGCTATGCAGTGATCGTCATTTTCTACAGATTTATGGTAAAACCGCAGTGTCCCAACTCCACTTGTTGCTGCACACTGCTGGAGAGTTGGTTGAAAATAGACTAGTTAAAGAAAAAAAACTAAGCTGCTTGCAAATATCCCGAATACAAAGGACAGACATTAATGCTTTAGCAAAGGACTCCCACCAATCATTCTTATTACAACATTGGCAAGCTATCAGTTTGTTGCCAAGCTGTTCAGATAAAAGCAATCAGAAAATGTTGCTCAATTTTTTAGAATCATTCTATTAATAATACAGTCTCAAAAAAATGTGATACCTTTTACTCATACCCTCATCTTTTCACATCCGTGCCACTTCCTGACTCAGTTTCCATGAAACTTTAAATGTTAGCTCAGAATCTTGTATGACTGAGAGGAAAAGCTAAACAGTCACAAGATCTCAAATTTTTTGGATCCAATCTCACAAAATCTTCAACCTACCACATCCTTAGCCATGTTCAAGATGTTCAACTTTCTTTCCGAAGTTTCTAGTACCTAAAATCAATAAATTAAAATGTCTATATCTCTGTAAAAGTGATACAATACTAGCAATAATAAAAATTATTTAATGTTCTAAGATTCAAGGTCAGATTTTTGAGACTGTTTGCAAGTAAACACATGAGAAATTAAAATAACTTGAGCAAGGAGTTACTTTTTCTGTATAATATTTTATGAGCATCATTGAAAAGCTCTGCAAAAGATTAAAAAGTGGAACAAAGCAACAAGACTTCACATCTTTTCAGCTAATGAGTCACATAAATCATCTCATTCATCAGTTTTTCCAAGCTATACGTCACAATTCCTTTTGAACAGAATAATAAATGTCTAAGCTGCAAAACACCAACAGTTGCAGCTGCATTAAGTGGATTCACAGGAAAGTGTCAGTCCCTATTAGAGCTGCTGCCTAACTGCCTGTGAAACTGTAATTGCATCCACCACCTTGCCTACACGTAGCATATACAGAGACAGACGGAAAGAGAGATGTGTTTTCATCTTTACATAATGGACATGTCTGTAAAACACTCTTTTGTGACGCGTTCCTCTGGCTGCATACTTATATCTGAATTACATCTAAGTATTCAAGCATCTGTGAAGAAGGTGAGAGTGTCGCTTCCCCTAATGAGGCGACACAGTCCCAAAGAGAGCCAAAAATGGTTTTGACAAGGGGTCCAGGCAATGTCAGTGTGCAGCGCTGACGTGTGTGACTGCTCTGCTGGGAAGAAACACCCAGACTGAAGTGACACTAATGGATAGGCGCGGGCTTCCATCAGTCCCTGGAGATTTGGCCTCATCTCAGCTGAGCAGCACACTCACGGTTCTCACAGCGACGACTGGATCATATATGGGTCCCCAGAGCACACTCAATCATCTGGTCAATCAGCAGGGCTGACACATGATGGTCAATTATTGAATTTTGCCTGTGCAATTTCTTATGACAGGTAAAACATCATGGCTCATTGATGAGTGTTGAATGTGGTTTTCCTTCAGAGACACTAAGGAAAATAAGGACTCTGCCTGACCTTTTTTTTTTTCCTTCCTCTTAGTCATTTGGCCATTGTCATCTTAGTTTTATTTCAAGGTAGAAGGTCTGAAAAAGTATCCAGAGCATGCATAAAATAAATGAATATCCAGGTAATAGATAGGTTAAATTTATAAGGTGTGAATTTGTGGAGCAGTCAGTATCTATTTTGCAGTAGACAGCAGTCATGTTGATCTCAGTTTGGGGAATAGGAGCACCTTTCATGGGTGAGTCAAGCCAACAAAACCTTCAACATTTTGGAGTTATTTAATGAAAATCTGTGTTGTTTCAAGTATTAAAGTTACTGAAACGTGTTTGGCTAACACAGATTATTTTGCAAATACAAAATATGTGTTCCAACATAAATTGACAGAGTAGCACTTTATGAAAAACTCCTTCTTAAACTGCATGGGAAAATTTGCAATGTAAAAGACGATAGGTTATTTGTTAGAAATGTGCCAATCAGTTTTATAGTTGAATGTTCATATTTTGATTTCCAGTTTTTGTAAAGTTTTCACCTGTTCATACATTTTAACAGATATTTTCAAAGCACTAATTCATAAACATTATGTTTTAATATTAATAGAGAATTATGTTTCTGAGCGGTGCAGTCAAAGTCCAGACCTAAGTCCAAATGAGAATCTGTGGCAACACCTGAAACTTTCTGCTTGCTCGCAGACGCTTTCCATTTAATATGACTGAGCTTGAGCTGTTTTGGAAATAAGACAAGTCAGGAAATTTCAATCTCTAGATGTTCAAACACTAAAATATTTGCAGCTTGAAGAAATTAAATCCAGTTCTAGACCGTATTTACTCAGGAGAACTAAATACAAATGCACACTCTTCGGAATTTTAAATAAAAAGGGCAAATTGTTTGCCTTCGACTTCATAATTGTGCTCCATATTTTGTTGGGCAATTGCATGAAGAACCAGTTAAATATATTGATGTTTGCGGTTGCAAAGTCAGGAAACGTGAGAAAGAGTTTAAGAGGTGTCAGTACTTTAGCAAGGCACTGTAAATGCCATCCATAATGAACGTTTTTCTCACTGACTGCAGCATCAGTCAGCTGGCTTGTTTAATCAGTTCCATCTGAGAATGACTGACATGAATCTGTCTGCTACATAAATGAGTGTCCTTGTTGAGATAATCGCCAACTGAAAGGCTCCCAGGTTTAGTCCAGTTCCTCACAGCGATGATGTAATCATCAGCCCAAAGTGACACAGAAGAGCGCTCTCTGTCAGTGGGGTACTTTGTTCCATCCTGCAGCATTCACGATGCCACAGACAGCTGGTCACAGAAAGAGCCTCAATCGTTTCTCAGAGCATAGTCTGCATGCTTCTTCAGCCCACAGGGTGGAATTGGTGGCATTTTCCCTCCAAACACCCAAGCTTTTCCCACAGCCCCCAGAGCGGAGAGGTAGCGCCATTGCTGGTTTTAGGTCAGGAGTGTGACTTAGACTGGCACTCTCTCAATAACTCTGGCCAACGTGTGTCATCGTAATCCCTTAGTTATGCAAATCTCCTCCCGCCTTGGTGCCGTTTGCGCCGATGCTGAGAGTAAAAGATGGCAGCATAATGTAGGTCACTATCTTGTCCCGATTTCTCCTTATTTGTCAAGTGGGCCTGAAATGCTCCCTATTAGCAGATCTCCAGGCAGCTGCAGAGCAATGCCTGCTCAAGAGACCACCAAAAAATTCAGCAACGCAAAGATATCTCCAGTTCTAACCTCCTGTTTCTGCATTAATGCTAACAAGCCATAAGGCAGGGATAGAGGGATATTGTTATCTTCTTAAACAGATTAACTGTAGTCTGTGTGGAGTGAATAAACATCATTGGAAAGTGTGTCAGCCTTTTCAGAGAGCACTGACGCTTCAGACAATAAAGCAGAGGTCATTAGCATTGTATTAATTTGGCCAACAGAGCAGAGAGCGAAAGTGTGCAGTCGAGGCATGTGTGTTTTGGGTGTGTGTATGAGTGAGAGCGTCTGGGAGGATGACGAGGAGAAGGGGGGGAAAAGGGCTGTTGTTGAGATGTTGGATGATGGCGTTCTACCCCCCTCGCCAGAGCTTTGATTGGGGGCGAAGGGTGGGGAAGGCTAGACAGGAGGAGGAGGAGGGGGTAGAACGCAAAGGATTGGGTGAGAATTGGATTTTTCTCAGTGCAACAATTGTTTGACTTGTGAAATGAGAGAGATGCAACTGGTGAAGTCTCGATGGGAGGCGGATGGTGTGGGGAAAATTAGACCAAACCGGCTGGTCAGTGAAAGCCAAGACAGAGTTGTGATATGAGCATGACAGGAATTAAACATGTGGGCAGCAAATCAGCTTAGGATATGAGGGATTTTCTGTATTAAGGCAGCAATTTCATCCACACAGGTCAAAACAGGAACTCAGCTATGGTACAATTAAAATTAATTCTGGACATTAAAAAATATTAGTTACTAAAACTATCTATATTTTTATCAAACATAGTGAAATGTATTATATTGCTCAATAATTGTTTACTTTATCATTAGGTACTTTATTTTTATTCTTTAAAAATCACACATCTTGATAAGGTGTGGACCAATTTAAAGACTTCCACATCATCCCAAATGTGACCAAAAATTTCACAGAAACCATATAGGTATCAAAATGTTATCTTTAAAATATATCATTACTTATGATACTTTTTAAAGAAAATATATAGACTAAACTTTACCAGTCAATTCATGAAAATGCAATACAATTCTGTAGGAAAATAAGATTCAATGTTAACATTCTGATCTGATTTGTAAATGCAATGCAAAAACTTATTTCGGTAGAACTCCAAATCATCAGGAAGTCAAGCCGACTTCTCAGCAGTTCTGCACACTGCATGTGGTGACAGTCGAAAGTATCAACTCTCTTTCAACAGGAAAAAACCTTTGCCAGAATCCAGTCATTCTGTTTTGATGCAACAATTTAGGTTTGTGCTCCGATTTAACAAGTTCAGCAACAACACTAGTCCAAATGTCAGACTAGCTGCTAGCAAGGGAAGTTTCTTAAGCTTGAGGCAGTGGTTACCATTAACTCCAGTTATTGAGAGAGAACAAGCTCCAAGTTAACTTTGAAAAATTGACATTAACCCAAGAAAAACAAAACCGAACCGAACACTTTTATCGAATATATTTAAAATGTGCTTTACAATTTCAGTAATATTTGGGACTTCTTTTTTATTTCATTTTGACATGAATTAATGAATTAATGGGAAGAATTAATCAGATATTTAGTTGAAATTTGGCTGAGCATATTATGTTAAATTATTCAGTGGGAATAATTTAACATAATCGGAGATATTGATTAAAATCTATTCATTGGAAAAGATCATTACTTTTTTTTTTTTTTTTGTCATATGAAGGACTAAATAAGTGGCAATCAGTCTTCTGGGCATCTTTTGAGCAACCTTCAACTACAACTACAACACGTCGCTTTTGCAGGTGAGATGACTCCCAAGTAATTTTCTCCAGCTGGACATACATGTGAATCCCAGAAAAGTCCACGCGGCTCTCAAATGGCCCCTGAAGCTCCGCGAGAGAGAGGGAGCTGTCAAGAGGTTTGTGTTTGCAGAAGCCCAGCGCTATCCAGCTCAAAGTGCTCGAGCGGCGTCTTCATCCACTGACTCGGGACAGTGAACTGGAAACTGCACCACACGCGCGAGTGCGCGTGTTTGCGCTACTAATTGTGTGATTTAGCGTTGCTTACCGGACTGTTCCTGTTCGATGCGACACGCGAAGCCCGGTGTGCTCCGGCTCTTCAGCTCCCCCTCCGCGGAGCGCTTTGCTGCTGTGCCGTTTATTTACGCGGAGTCCCGTTCGGTGCACTAGCCTCCTCCTCCTCTGCCTCACTGGTCCTCTCCTCCTCCTCTACCTACCAGTTCAGTTCACACGCGCGCCGTCGCACGCGCGGGGCGAGGACTCGCGCGCGCGCGCGGCTGCCATATCCTCCAGGGTGTGCGCATGCACTGCAGCGCCGCTACTAACGCGCGGTGGCCTCGAGGCGAGCGAGCCGCTCCAGCAAATTGTTACAGAAATATACAAGCTATTAGTGCTTCGGCTTCCCTCGGGTTCCGAACATAACAGCTGGAGAACAGCTGGGCCCGTTTTTTTTTTAGCATGAAACGGGCCAAAAGTTCCCCTTTCAAAGCCGAGCAATGTCAGCTGTCTGTTATGTAGCAGCGGGGAGCCGCTTTTTAAGTACACAGGAGCAGCCGCCACTCTGTCGGCTGAAGATGCGTATAAGAAATTAATCTGATGAAATCTTACGATAAAAATGCAAGGAAAACCCTACCACATTTATTCAGGAAGCTGAGAACCCAAATTTATTTTTGAAAAAAAGAAATGCTTGATGCACACATGAAATCATGGAAAATTAGTAGCAAGAAAGAATTATCGTTTTGTTGTTGTTGCTGTTTGTTTATTTTTTGCTTTGCTTTGAGAAACCCTTCGATCTCTTGCAGCAGCAATTCGGGGCTGCCTAAACACTTGCTGTCCCAAAGCTCCGCCTATTTCCACAAAGCTCCTCCTCAGAGCTGCGGTCCCCAGCCCAGCTATGGCGCCACAGCGCAGCATCAGCAGCCTCAGTGTTTAGCAGCGTTGGGTTGGCACATGTCAACAAGAGCAATTGACGCACGCTCCACTTTGCGTAGTCGCGAATCATCCAGATCAAATTCTGCGTGTTTTCCTCCGCTTCATCCGACGGCGGTCATGAGATACTCGTCCATATATTCCACCTTTGTTTCACTTTTGTTTGATCTTAGTCTAAGCTGATGACAGTAGTATTTAGCAAAGAAATAAATATCTTTAAAAATTCATGTGTCTTTAGTCATGAGGTTTCATCTCTCTGAAAGTCATTTTCTCAGAGATTATTACATAATGTCTTACTGATAGCATCAATCCCCACATATCAGCCTCTGGGATCAGTCAGGTTCTGGTAGATAGGGTCACGCGACCTTAAAGGCACACTTCCTCCTATAGTTAAATCATCTTCCAGCAACCCTGTTCTTCTACAGCATGGACCTCACGCTTCTCCGTTATCTCAGGCACAGCGCTGGCAACCATTAGCAGCCATAGCTTCAAACAAAGAGAGCAAGTAACTCAGTTATTACTGTAAGGATAAGCCTGGCTTGGCATGGAAACAGGGTTTTGTGGTTGGAGATGCCTTACAGAAGCTGGCTCACTGAGATAAACAAATTAGGCCGAGATATGACGGAAGAGGAGAAAGGGCTTATGTTCTGGATGAGGGTTCATCTGGGAGCAGAGCAAAGGGGCAGATAACAAGACATTTTAAGGACAATAAAATAGAAGGCTCAAACCACTCCTTCCCATTCTCTGACCGAGAGTGCAAGGTATTAATCCACATCTGGGCTTTTGGCCTATTTTCATTTAAACTTTCAAACAGTGGCAGTGAACTGAGGGGAAGAATGATTAGACTAAATTCATCAACCAAACCTGCCTTCTTCGCCACCAGGTTGAGAAATGTTGTATAACGTTCTTTCCTCTGCTTTCAGATTGCCCTCCAGATATAAACGGATGTGCCTTGAATACCATTAAAAGAGCCTCGTAATGTTTCCTTTGCAATTTATTTGCAAAATACTCTGAGGGATTTTATTAGCTTGAAGGACAACAGCAAGGGGATTAAGTAGAGCAGTTTCCAAATTGCATACGGAAAGTCATCAGGGCATTATTGTGAAAAAAAAAAAAAACATTTAGAGAGGTTGGTTTCTCTACCTTGGTGCACTTTCAATTATGGAGCCTATTATTGCACTGAGTACGAGAAGTCATCAGCTCATCAAGATGCATCGTATCGTACATGACATGATGAAGACATAGAGTCATCTTTTGGCGTGATTTCTTCTTCTGTTACCCATTTTTGTGTCGTTACTTTGGTGACAACTGGCTGAAAATACTAAGCAGGGAAATTAATTAACTCTCATCAGGGTTGCTGATTAAACCCAAGAGACGAGACAGACTGAGAAACAAAACACACTCAGATGCTCGCATTTCAGATTTGTTTTGGACGGTTCGCAGACATTATTAAATTGGAGTTTTTGACTTCGAGAGAAAAATAGAAATTCAGTCTAAAGGTTTGCAAACGTTTTCAAGCCCGAAGTGGAACGAATTTCACTTCGATTCTGTCGTAATTCTAGTTGTCTGTTGTGCTCCATCGCAAGTTTGCTGCATCCAGCATCCACTGGTCTCAAACTCAAGGCCTAGGGGCCAAATCTGCGCCGCTGCAACATTTTGTGTGGCCCTCCACACTCCAACTTACATCAATAAATTGCTCCAGTTTTTCACAACGCTGCAAAAAGAACACAAAATTAACAAGACTACACATTTTTTCAGATTTTACTGCACATTTTCTCAAAATTGGTCAAAGTTTAAGTGACTGCTGCCTCAGCCTTACTTTATTTTGTAGTCTGTAATTCATGTGAGTAATAAGAAGTTACATTTAACATCATACATTAGTGCAAATATTGTAAAAATTCTTTGCACCACAAAATCTGTAATTTTGATTGCATAAAATACACTGAAAACCCTGGAGGAGAAGGTATTTATTGATATTTTAACAGTTGAATTGGTTTTATTCATGTCTTCTGGCACAACCGGCCCTGTAAGAATATTCCAATTTTTTACATGGGCCAAAATGAAAATGACTTTGACACCCCTGATCTAACGGGTTTGCTTCTGAAGCTTCTCTAAAGCTTCATGCTTGTTTCATTTGAGGATATAAAAGTAAAAGGTAGCCAAAATCAATGGCACACTTTTTCACTTTCTTAAAAGAAAAAAATTAACATAGCCAAGATGTATTATCAATGTATTTGTTTTTATCCATCCACTTCACAGATATGTGATATATCAAAAATAAACAAAAAAAACAATAAAGCTGTCAAAGTTTATGGTTGTAACAAAACAAAGCGACCAAAACGTTCACACGGTATGAACAGGTTTCGAAGGAACTGTAAAATATGTTGCGATAGTGCTTTGGGAATGAAATCTTTTATATACAGTATATGATCCTATTAATAGTCCGGGGCTCTCCAAAACCAATTAGGTGGTAATGAGTTGGGTTTCTTTGCTGCATCCACCCTGAGGACAAGCCGTTGCTGCACGAAAACAAAGGTGAGAGAACGACTCCTTGACACGCACAGTCCTGGGCTTAAATCCTGGGCTTAAATGAAGACGACACGTTGGGATTTGCAGAGGGGGATGTTTTGCCGAAGGTGCAACAGAAATGAAATTAGCGATGTGATTACTGCTGCGGGACAGGTTCATGAGTCAGACCTGTTCACGTCAGGGAGGAGATGCACTTCCTCTCACAGGGTGGGGTCTGTAATTACATTATGAGTTCTTTGTATTGAGTGGGGCCAGCGTTTAGCATCTAAATAATAATGTTAGCTACAGGGGCCACTAACTCAATCAGGATTCATCTTATACAACTGGTGGATCAGCTGTATCAATGTCACGGGTGGAGGGTGTATCTATTAATATCAGTGAGAGGAGTCTGGCCAGATTTCTGTAAGAGTTCTGAATTTATTTCTTTTAGAGGGTCCTTGAAAGCAGCAAAAATGCAAAAGTAAATGTAAAATTCCTTTAAAGCTGCAGGGGAGACAATCTGTCATTCTCTAAGTGCAGAGGGATACTTTCTACAAAAAATGGTCAAAATGGATGGAATACAATATACTCCTGGTAGGTGTGATTTTTCTGGACACCCTGCTGCTCTATATTATGCTGCAGTGATTTTGAACGCTTATTTCAATAATGTGATTGCAACTTGGCGACTCCGCCACCTCCACCAAAGTCCCGACGTTTTTGGAAATAAAGGTTAAAACATGTGTAAGCAAAAGCAACGTACTGTAAATAGTCAAACTAGGGCAATATTCAACATGCTTTCTCAAGTAAAACACTAATGTAGAAAAAACTACTGGTAAAGGTCCTGCGTTAGTCTTCTCATCAATAATACCTCAACTGAATACATGTTCTAGTTTTCTCTTATTAAATGTAGGTCATCTTTGTGTTTCAAGCTTACAAAACACAGATCTCAACATATTTAGTTAAATAAATTCCCCTTAATGTCTGAACATCTGACAGCTTATTGCATTTGCATACAGTAAGACGGTTAAGTATCTATTTTATTAGGGTTTCTACACAGTCTTGGCCATAAGAATGTTTGCTTTCCTAAATTAAATTTCTTATTCTGAAGGAACAAAATCAATGTTTGTCTAGTTATTAGTTATTAGATAAGAACATCAAAAATACATGCATGTACTGTGTTTTGATGTCTAGACTTCCTTGTGTAAAGCTCTGTGTGGCTTTAAAACTGGGTCTAGTGTTGAGGTGGGGGAACGCGATCCATCACTGGGTCGAGCTGTTATCCAGTTGCCTGAGCAAAGCCTGGCAGACAACGCGCCTCACCTTTCTCCTTTTTATGACAGGTAGCTCAGGGATGAGCAGTGAAATTACATTCCCCTGACAAACACACCCGTGCCTCTACAACACACATTTAACTTGAGGCAGGAAAAAAAAAACTACTGTTTGGACCAGGGTGCAAACTGGGGTGTCAATTGGACAAATCAGAAGTGCATTGAAATTTGAGTCAAAAGGGCGATGGTGTATCACTCCAGCAATCAGGCCGTTATGAACCTACATTACGGTCTTAGTACATAAATTTCTCCTGAGATGATCCACGAGCTGAGGGTGAAACTGCAGCTTTACTCAGATCATAATCGGCTTATCTTCAAATAATTAGAGGAGGCGGGATGCATTATGGTTCAATGATGTGTTTTAATTATATTCTCAAACAGTATTTACAGTGGACCAACACGAGATGGACGGTAAAATTAAAACAATTAGGACGGTATCAGTAGCCATCTTACTTCAGGGTCCCTCAGGGAGTGACTCCCGTCGGTTACACAGTGCTTGAACTGGTTGGGTCTGGAAATGGACGACTGCTGTTTATACAGCGGCAAACAGAAGAGTCCCATTTTTCTTCTGTGTCAAATCAATAACAGCAGAACAAAAAAAAACAACATCTGTTTTAATACAATCCTTCAAATACAAGCTGCATCATTTCAGAAAACGTTACAGTACGGGAGAGAAGAAACTGCGACAAAGCTCGATGAGAAGCGAGAGAGGCATCAAAGAAAAAAGGGCAAGTTGAAGACAGCACAACATGTAAGCAGAACCAAACACCCGGTCAATAGAAAAGTGAATGAAACAACTTTAAATACTCTAAAGTTAAAACAACATGACAACAATAGGACAGTTAGACTTGCTTTGGATCTCTGTTAAATAACATATCTGTGATTTATATTCTCTATACAGCGTCTTATTTATATTAGAAACACCTTTGTAATACTTGTAATGCCTGAGGTTGACCCTCGTCTACTATTTGTGTCACACACACGATTTACCCATAGCTGCATTGTGCAAATTTTTGTGACTTCAACTGGGAAATGTCACCTGCAGCATAGGACCTCAGCTTGACCCTGACTGTCTTTCACAAAAATGAAAGGTAGTTACAGTTATAACGAAACGAGCCATTTCTTGACACATAAAACATCACACAAAACATTCTGAGTGATCACCAACACAGGTTTGTGTATTTACCTTCATAAAGGATTATCTGAAATACAGCTGCACCAGGAAATTGGCTAGTTACCAGAAATGGCCCATTTCAGTCAAGAGAATCAAAATTCCAATGTTTTTCTGAGCAGCGAATGGCACCACATGCTGCTAATTTGCACCACCGGCAACACTCTTCTGTGTTGAGGTTGTTATAGAGGGAACAATTAAGTCATATGAAGCACAAAAGGTGTTCAGACGGAGAGGAAAGTTTCTGGGGAGGATGCTACGACGGTTGATGTTGGTTAGTTGTGCTCAACCAAAGGAGAAGCTTGGTTTGATACCTTTGAGCTCTCGGCCTGTCAAATGCATGGAACATGCATTTGGAAATGTTAGCAGCCTTTTGTAAACTTTAAAGTAACCATATATATATTTTTAAAGGAAGTAGACACAGCAAGTGCTGGTTTACTAATGAATACCATGGCAGTCACTAATAAACAATGCTAACCAACATTTGACAACCTAAAACAATGTTGTTTTAAATTAGTATGATCCTACTTTATAGCAACTGCTCTTCAGCTTGTATACTTTAAATAAAAACCTCTGCTGCTGAAATATCAATATTTAATAACTGCTCAATGCTGGAAGCCTAAAAAAGTATTTTGAACGGTGGTAATTAAGCTATTGGAAGAGAAATTGGAGTGAGCTAAAAATCAGTATTGGCAGGTTACTTTTAATAAACAGGACATTTCAAAAGAAAGCCAATAATTAAAAAGTGCTCATGTAAAATACTGCTAAAATTATATGACGCTGTTAATATAAACATGTGCTTTAGATGCTTTATTCAACTGTAAGATGAGACTGTGCAGAAGTAGCTTAATTATTCTTTTGCAAAATTTGCAACAAGGGATATTAGTGTAATTTAGCAACGACACCCAAAAGGCATAAAACTATCAAGCTTTGTAATTTCTATGCTTTAAATGTAATCAAGTTTTTATTTTAATTGAAGCCAATTCTCTGGTGGCCTTGGCTTCATATCACTTACGCTAATTTAAGGACGGAAGTCAACAGGCGCAGCGCCTCTAAAACCTATTGGAAGTGTTGCTCTGATTTGTATTTGAGGATTTCCTCAAACTTCCAATTTTTTATTTAAAAATCACGCTTAATCAGTGATACACACGTAGTAACCAGATAAATGCTCCCTGCCAAAGTTGTTGGCAGTAAAAAGTGCCTATGTGGGACGTGCTAGAGCTGTTGGCACATCAACAGTAAAAATATCTGTCAAAGTATTGGTGAGTACAGAAGGCGTTTGGCATTTTATATGCATCTCACACTCTTTTTTTTTTTTGCAGCTACTGGTCAAAAAAAAAAAAAAAAAGACATTAACTACACTCCAGTAACCACGGTAACATGACGTGATGTTAAATGTAGATTGCGTGGAGGATTTGGGCTGGGAAAAGTCACTTCCCTTTGATTCTACAGCTTTGAGGACAGGCCGCTGTACATGTGAGCCCTGAGCCTGGCCCACTCGGTCGCCCTCTGGATGGAGCTTTTCTCTCGGGTGAGGATGCGCGCGACCTTCCTCAGCTTTTCCTCATTCCGCTCCAGGTAACGGAGGCCCTCGGCCTGCAGCAGGTTGAGCTTCTCAAGCCGGCTTTCGTCCATGGGGACTTCTTCGTTCACGAAGGGGTTGAAGCGGAAGTAGGTGTCGGGAGGGAGGAAGGCGTCCAGCATGGCGTGAACCTCTGGGGGACGGAAGCACACAGAGTGAGGCCTCTTAAGTTAACGGGCTAGTAAGCGCACACTAATTAACCTGGTAATAGCTTCAGTATGTTCAAACATTCAGCAGCTGTGTTTGGTGCGAAAAGTGCAAGCGAAGCCAAATTCTGCCTGTCAGGACTGGGACAGAATTAGATGTGTCACTGAGTGAGCGCTTGGAGCTGAAAGCCTTGAGGTAGGTCCAAGAGAAAATGCTCGACTTATCTGCCATAGCTGTCTCCATCTGCACCGCATGACTGGTTTTAAAATCAACAGCTTTTCAGTTCAAGCAGACAAGCAGCGGGGGCGAAAAAAAAACTGTGTAAATACTCCTAATGGATCCAGAAAGATTTGTGGTCGTGTTTCTGTACGTTTCCCCCCAAATGTCAGGAAACCATTATCAAAACCGCTCTCCTCCGAGGCTTTGCAAAAGTTGAGCATTTTATTGGGAAAACATGCGGAAAGTTCTCTTGACTTTATTTTAGTTGTCAAACTGATATACTTTGCTAGGTCAAAGTATATCAGTTTGAACTGATTAGTATCTTACACTGACAGCTTGGAACATATCAACAAGAACAATCATCAAAAGGTTCAAATGGATACCGATATATTATAAGGATTAGCGGCTCTTAAGTCGGGTTCACACTGTGTGATTATCGACACCCTTAAACAGAATCTTTAATCATGAATGGATCTGCAATTGTGAGGTTGAGTTGGGGGTCCATCGATCCTAAGCATCAACAGACTCTCCGAAATCTCTAGCAAAATTAAAGCTGACCAAATACAAATCTTTTCAGGAAGGCAGGAAGGAAAGAACGAACAAAGGAAGGATACAAGGAAGAACACGAGGACAAAGAGAATGAAAAGGGAAGGACAAGAAAGGAAAGGAGACGATGGAAAGTAAAGATAGGAAAGGGAGAAACTGACACAAGCTGGGTAGAGAGGAATGGTGATAGGATACAAAGATAGGATACAAAGATGGGGAGAAAACAAAGACAAATGGGGAAAGAAATAAGGGCACAAGGAAGGGTATTGGTAACAGACAGGTTTGGGGTTGTGCAGTCCACAAAGCTGGTCGTTATGGGAAGTGTCAAGGAGAATACCGTCATTGAAATGAGTCAGGAGAAATCTTGTGTGCAGTTTACCACAAGCCGTGTAGGTGACACAACAGAGGTGTGAAAAAACGTGCTCTGAGCAGATGAGACTAAAGCTGACATTTTATCACACAGTGCTGTGTGGAACAGTACACAGCAACCAGGGTTTCCCATCAGCAGAAAACACTAAAAGGTAAGCACTGTGGCATATTATTTAATGCATAAACACACATCCACTTGCTATAAAAAGAATACATTTTCATCTGCAGTCAAGCACTGGGACCTCTAAGAAACAGCAGGAGCTGCTATAAATGATGGCACGTTTTTAACAAACGCATCGGTCACAAAACACAAAGAGTTTCTATTAACATTACACCTGGCGCCAAGCCAGGATTCTTTATGCAGAGTTGAGGACACTCTGAGCATCCTAATGTGTTCACAAACAGCCTACCTTCACTTCCCAGTACCACAACAAAGAATGTGCAAAGGGCTAAGAGTGGCCAGTGGTCTCAGGAGAAATCTGACCCAATGTCAGCTTTCCAAGACATGTTTAACATTCAGAGCGATGCCACACTGCACTCAGAACTGTGCTTTCCATTAAGTTAAAATCTGCTCCATAAAAGACTGTAGTCAGGCCAGGTTTAGTTTTATCTGACCTGAACTAAGCAGGGGCCTTAAAGACAAACCTTAAAAAAAAAAGAGAAATATATAAAAATCTGTGACAGATTATATATTTTATAACTTATTGGCTGGTTTCAGGGCAAAAAAAATGAGCCAGCTGACAAGATGAAGTTGTAATTTCTTATAGAGGAAGAAAAAAAAAAGTGCAACGAAGCAACTGGGTCACAGACTGCACCACGGCATCAACAGGGACGAGGTGAGCCAAATTTAGGCACGGCAGAAGTGCCCATGTCGAGAGGTGATAAGGACATTAAGAGGCTGCAGCCTCACAAGGCCACAGCGGGATCCATCTTGGACAAAGATAAACTGCAGACCCTTTTTCAGCAACAAACTCACAGAAACCAAAATTTGTAGGGGAATAAGAGTTTTGTACAAATGCCTTAAAGGTCTTCTAACTTTAACTTTAGACGCTGCACATAAAACGTAGTATGCTACAAAAGGATTCAGGCCTCTTGAATGTTTTCCCTTTTTGTCCCGATTCAACCTCAAACTTCAATCTATTTTTTGAGGTTTTATGGGCTATACCAAAAAAAATAAAAATCTGTTAAAGGAGCGAAGAAAACATTAAACATGGGCTGTGTCCTGGTCAAACAGGATTAACATTCACTCAAAAAATGTTAAATAAATTTGTTTTAACAAGAATAATTCAATCTGAGCAGATGGGAGAAATGCCCCACACATAGATCGATTCAAGCAAGTGCCATATATATTTAATCTATGAAAAATCTGGGAAAAACCTGACAAAAAACACAACAATGCCACAACGTCTCAACACAGAGACATTTTGCTTCCTCCAAGAAGCATGCTTGGCATCATTTTTTTTTTATGTCGTGGTGTGGAATCTCTTAGAATACATTGAAAGTGCACATCTGCTTCGCCTTCCTTACAGAGAATAGTTGCTCTCAGAGGCATATCATGCTGCCAAACATGTCAAGCTTCTGAGCTGTGGAGTGAATATGGATATGAGGTATCGACTGGGGCATAAAGGGTTAAAGCTAGGTAGAGTCTCACTTTACCTTGTTGCACTGCAGTTCTATAAAACCCACTGCACAACAATTTCAGGTTGTGTATTAAAGTGCAAACTCAGTAAACTCCTCATCAGCAAGATGTGCACTTGGGAACCTCGCAAGGCTGACTTGGTTTGACACGATTTGGCGACGCGGGAAAGTGCCGTCTGACACGTCAGGTGCACCTTAAGCTGTGAGCAACTGTTGTGGTGAATAATGGGATATGTAGTTTGACTGGTGTAAACGCTGCAAAGCTTCAGGTGAGCCATTAATAATCTATTTATGAAATTGTATCATGGGCCAGATGCTTCTTAGGACCCTTCAGCTTGACATGTCTGCAACAGGAAAGAGCAGAGAAGTGCATATTTGAAATGTGGAGGGGAAAATATACAGTGTTCAAAATTGATTTTCAGCTCACCTCCCCCCAAGTCAATACATAAATATAATGTAAAACAGTAGTGTGGCAATAGGTTCCCTTTAAAGCTTTTATGATCTTTAATATTTTGGTTTAAAGCTACGGTACATTTGAATTTTTGTCCGACTTGAGATTTGTTTTTCTGACATTTTGTGTCACCTACCCTCGGTGTCCGTGGCACTGCTGATGACGTTTGTGAGTTTCGTTTTGAGGCTTGTGTAAGTGACGCTGGTCTTGCCGGCGGTTTCGATGCGCCCGGTGCCGAGCGAAACGACACACTCCAGCGGCGTGTCGGGCCACAAACACTTTGACTCGTGGATTGCGAGCGCTGTTGGGTTGTTCATCAGCAGACCCCCATCCTAAGCAAAAACACAAGAAGTCCTGTGTTTGAGACCGGATATCACAAGACGATCAGAAGCAAAACCCAATTAATCAGTGGTAAAAATCCAAAAGCCTGAACAGATTCTTGAAGTCAAGAGACTTGTTTTTATTTAACCACTTAAAAAAAAAAGCACCAAAGTACAGCCGAGGAGCTGCTTCTACAAAGAAGAGCTAAACTGTTGAGTTTTTTCTTTTTTTTTCCAACCCTTCTCCATATTTTCATCTCAGCTAGCTTTGATATAAAGCAGGCGCCCAGGAGAGCTTTTGCTTTGGATCCATACTGTACCCAAGGCAGTGGGGGAATCACTGTAGAGGCTGTGGGGATTGTTGAATAGGCATGAGGCTGATGGGGCCACAGGGCTGCGAGCTGGAAGCGGGATCAAACACACCGGGGCCAGTCGTCATTAAAGAGGCCCGGCGGGGGGGCAGTGGGGAGCCGCAGGGGCCCCCTGCTGTCTTGGGACACAGCAAAGGGAAGAGTGCTTGCTCATGTGACTGGGAATACGCTCTTTCGATCAAAGAATTTGATCGAAAGAGCGTTCTTGCTTTCAGTCGATGTGTATAATAATGTGTGTGTGTCAACATAGGTCATTTAAAGGTCTAACAAAACCACACTTACACATCTACAGAAAATTTGAGGGAAGATAAAAAGTAGAAAAGAATATTTGAACTGGCTGAAAAGACACTTGTATTGATAGAAATATCAGGAAAACACCACAAATAACATTAAGGCTGGACTCAGTATCAAATACACATGCAGCAGCATAGCAGATGGGGGATAGTCAACATGTCCCAGACACAAGGGTCTTGGATTATTTGCTACTGTTTGCATGTTAACATTTTCATAATGATTACAGATAATGCATCATAATAATGTCTGCTTTGATTTATAGTGTAAATTCAAAACCCTGCATTTAGCCAATCAATATAAAAAAATGAAAATACCTTTAGAGCTCACTCTGCTGTTATTGCCACTCCTTGTAAAGATTTATTTAAACACAAAACATTAGTATTATGTCAGTAGCATCACTTATAAATGCTGCAGCGATCTGGTCTTTAAATTTGTAATGATGGAGCATCTTCTTCTATATTACAGTGTTGTGATATTACATTGAGCCAACATTAAAAAAAATCTAATCTTGTAATAGGAAATGATTCGCAAAACTTCGCATTTCCCTTGGTCTAAACGTGTTCCACATCGGCCAATTTTTACGCCTTAAGATGGGAAAGACAAAAGAGAATGCTAATAAAGCAAAGTAGATGCTGATCTTCAGAAGTTGGGAAGTGATTAGGGTCACGTAAAATCTTGCCGCCATGCACAATGAGGAGGAAAATTAGTGAGGTTGTGTGCCTGCAGTAAATTTGTTAGTGTGAGATTATGCTGATTATGCCATAAAAATTAATTTATTTTTAAGGACCTAACATATTCGCCAGGGATGCAAATAAATACAAAGGACAATGGAATCTGTATGTATTTCAGTCCCTATGCGAATCAAAATGTGCTTCTTTTTCTTCAAATGTAACCTACGCATTGCATTTTGCTTAGTTTCAGAATATTCTGGTCTTTGCACATAAAAGACTTTCAAACATAGACTAAGGATGAGTATGTTTCCTTTTTCAGAATTTTAAATTGCATCATCTAACGTCGAAGTTGATGGAAATCATTCCTTTCAAAACATACTGCATGAGTCATTTCTGAATAAACCTACACATTAGTTAATACTTCTAAAGCACACCAGTGTGACAGAGAATCGGTCTAACAGGCTGATATAGAAAAGTCCCACAAAGAGGGCTTAACTCTGTCACATAGCACAGCAGAACTGCTGAGGTGGACATTTGTCCAAAGCACATCATTATGCAGCAGCGGCAGCTCGCCTGGCAAAGAAAGACAGAAAGAAATTGGAGAAAAGGGGGAAAATGCTTGGATTGGAAATGCTCCTGATGGAGACTAAAGCGTGACTTACTGCAGTGGGCACCAGGCAAACCCAGCTGGAAACAAAACAACTGTGCAGTTTTCTTATCACTGACTCGCGCTGTGTGAGGCTCCATTTTCTGAACTCTGCGTCAATTAAGGCAGCAGCCCGGGTCCAGTTATGGCCTCTCCGTGCTAATGGCCAGAGGGCAGTTTCAGAGGAACAGTGACTCATTTCACAAGGCAAGCAACATTACAGCATTCATGGTCGAATGTTGCCTCCATTACAAAACACCTGCTTGAACAATTCAGGGCATACATTCCCCCCCCGACTTATCGATTACACATAGATTCAAATCTTGCATTAAAAAAAAAAAAAACTGTAGCATGAAGTAACAAGTCAGCTTTAAGGATACCAAACCACCATGGGAGGTGCAGAAAAATCTGTTCGCTGGATTTGCTGCATTGAATTTAGAAACAACGCATTTTATCACAGTGATCTGCAGATGAGCCGTGCATGGCAAATTCTCAAACTCCAGCTGCCTGTCAAAGCCGCAACGTGACGCGAGGCAGAGCTTGCTTCCATTTTTACGGATTTGCGGGACTAAAGCTGCTCAAACTGCAATTTGCCATGTGTCACAAGACAGAAGTCCTCAGAAGGTTCATTCCTGTCAGATGTTGCTCTCTGATGGATGTGTTGCCCCTTTGAGGTTCGATTTCTATCAAATCGAGAGAAATTCCAACTTTGAAATGCAACTTCTTGAAACACCCAGTGCTTTGTTTTGATTGCATATCTTGCTTTTTGTAGGAAGTTGGCAGTTATTGCTCAAGAGGATCAAAGCAAGCCTGGGATTGTCCTGAGTCCTTCTCAAGGCAGAGGGGGGGCATTTATCGTACAACGTACCATTTATCATTTTAAATGTCTAATTTTTTTCCAGTATTATTATTTCTTTTTAGAGAAGCTAATGGCTGTTGAATGTTGAAATAAGGTTTTAAGATAATTCATAAAACCTAGAAATGTGCATTTTATCATCTTTTCTTGCTGTGACTGTGTGAAAGCTGTAGTCCTTGCAATCTAATAAAGAGACAAAGTGACTATGGGAACACAAACATCAGCAAGGCCAGTTCAATAATTCACAGATATTAGTCAGTTTGTGAAAATAATGTTTCGTTTGGAGCTTTATGCGTTTTGGAGATCATTTCGTCATCAGCTCAGTTAAATCTGAAGCCCTGCCCTGCTAAGACGTCCGCGAGCAGTGCCTGAACATTTGCATGATGTCGCATTCACTCCTGTTAAACATCTATCAGTTCTCATTAATTTTGGGCAGCTTATCTTCATTGTGCCTGTTTAAGCTGCCTCGGCGTTGAAGGCCTGAGCTGAATGGGAAAGAGGTGCTATCTTCAGGATCAGAAAAAGTAATTTCATGCCCCAGAGTATGTCAACTCACATTAACTGGGACAGAAAACTTTATCCTCTCCACTCAGCTTCTATTTCTCAATATCTTGCTCACTCTAAAGTGTGGGTAAACTCATGTCTTAGCAGCCAAAAGAGAAAGATGAAGACACCTTTTGTTTAAGCCTTAATGAAGTGAAACTACATTGTGCGTCTGGTGTGGCATTCCTGTCACAGCTCCACTAAAGTGACTGTGGTCATTATACTTCCTCCTCTGGGCTTCTTTGACAGGGACAGGACAGGGCACTGAGCTCTGCCATGATTTACAAAGAAGCTCCGCAAATGAGAGTTCTTTTTCATAGTTAATTAGGGGATTATTAGGGAAGCCTTACATAAGCCTCGGACATCCACTGATATCTTTCACAACCTGACTGTTGTGCACACATTTCATAGCAGACAATTAAGTGTTCAAAATAGTCTCTATTGCACTTTATTGTGCAATAAATCGTCAATGTCCTTACATGTGGCTTAGTAATAAAATAGTTGTTTCAATGTGAACTGACCCTTTACCTTTCATCATTTTATTTCCAGTGACACTCTGCTTACCCTCAGCCTTCAGGAGCCCTGCTAAGATTGAACAAGATGACAAAATGACCACCACAGTCCGGTCTGTAACTGACCTCCGTAGGCTGACGAAAGCAATGCTCTGAGTCATAGGGAACCATAGGGTTTCTTAAGATTCCCAATCCTGGTGCATTTGTATGTAATCAGAAAAAAAAAATGAGACTTTAGGAAATTCCCCTCGTCAAGTGGAATCCGAACCACAATGAAAGACTCCATTGTGAAAACCAAAAATGAGAGCAGAATCGATGAGAGTGTCATTCCAATGTGGTGGACAGGTCAAGTGAGAGGTCTTCATGCCATATTACATAATTATGCCAACCAGTTCTCCATTTGGCCTTTAGCTTCACGGATGCCAAAGGTCATGCTAAGGTTCAAATCATTCTCTCAAGCTCTAGACAGAGGAGGAATCCATTTGTAGATGTTTCAACTTTGCCTCAGGGAGACACAATAAGTGAGACAGGCTCTTTCCTAGTCATACTCTGAATTCACAAACACCTTCTGATTAAACAATTAATCAGATTTTCTGGCTGTGCTCGTTCAGCTTGAACTGAAAATCTGCGGAGTGATTCAGATTGATTGGGCTCAGTTACTCCTTTATGTCCTCGCTGCGTAGCAGCATGGAGCGCATGTAATGATTGCTTACTTTACAATATGAATTTAATTCCATGCTTTTCTCATATTGAGCACAGACTTGGATCTCAATAAACTTCAAATCGAAGATTTAAAGCTGTGGACTATCCTGGAGAATTACATCCGGAGAGCAGCTGTAAAAAAGTAAAAAAATCTCTCTCCTCATTGCTTGATGTACTGTCAGAATAGAAGATTTGGGAAGATTTGCGAGAGCTATTAAACAGCAGAGGGTCTGCATCATCAGCCCACCAGTCTAATCTGCAAACGTGTCTAAACACAAGCAAAAACATCCGCATGCATTTATATCCACTCTTCCATTGTAGCCAGATCTGTAGAGCACAGCTCGCAGTTATATAATTGACCTGAGGTGTACATATCTCCTTGTCCAGCCTGTCAGTTTCTGTGCACAATCATGACTTGGCAGATTTCAGTTTACGCCACACTGTGAGCCGCACTCCAGGAGACGGTAAAAGTTTGAAATATTGTTTCATAACCAAACCAATTCCCCACCAATTTACCCAGAACATCTGATTGATCTTCGTGATGCTGTCTGATCACTGATGTGCTCCAGCAAACCTCAGCAAGCATTAGAAAACATGGGGATTTAAACTGAGATCTAATTACACACTATTTACCAATAGTGCTTTCTGAAGGCAATTGTTTGCACTGAACTTTAATTGAAGGTATCTGAATACATACACATGCGTGGCACACCTTTTAGATTATTAGTTGAAATTATTAAAGCCCATGTTTCCATCTTTATATTTTCATTTCTATATTCTCGTTTAGCTTCTCTGTGCTGTACGTATTGTAGTCTTATTAAACGGGCCACAGAGGCCCGACCCAATCATCAAAACAAATTATGTTGGTCCACCCCAGCCCAAATTTTGGGTCAGACTTGGGCCATAAATCGATCTAACACTATATTGATCTAACAAATAAAACACAAAGAAGCTTGTAGTTTAAATGCAACAGGATTTAAGGGCTGGAAATATTTGTGCAATGCACTGTGCATTCACTCCACATATACCAAAGATTCATCTGTAATTAACAACATAATCCGAAAGCACTCTGTGAAATTTAATCAGATAAAGGTCTGCTTGATAGCATTAAAATTTCCTATAGCTTTTTCTGTAAGTCTGTTTTTTTTTTCCTGTGGGCACAAACATGAAGAGAAAGTTCTCTGCAGCAGGGCTCTATCCTCAAAGCCAAGCTTTTAAAGATTATTACAGAAGGACTGTTAAGACATAACAGCTTCCAGAAGGATCCCGTATTACTGTTCCTGAATTTTACATCCCTGCTCTCTTCACCGTGGGACTGAATGTGCAATTTATTAACAAAAGATTCGCACTGAAAGGCCTTTAATAGAGAGATAGAGAGACAGAGAGAGAAAGAAAGTGAAAGAGAGAGAGAAAAGTGAAAACCGAGCTCCAAAAAGGTTGCGATTTCTTCAGCTGGCCTTTTAGAAACGTTGATTATGTAACACTCTCTTCTTTCTGCTCCAAGCAGCCAGATTTAATGTGTTCTTGAGCTAATGTTTAAAATTTGCTCTTCATTAGTGGAAAAAAATGAGAGCGGCGATGTGACCTAGTCCGTCTAAAGCTGAGTAAAGTCTTTCTGCTGAGGTTGGTGGCCTGCTGGGGCTCTCATCAGGTCGCACTGGGGGGTGTCAGTGGTCACTTGTTTAATGGCTTTTTTGCCAAATGCTGGCAAAGATGGGCACAAAACAATCTTCCCCCATTCCTTTCCATCGCCTCAACGGATACCATGGTAACTAGGCGGAATGACGGGGTCCTTCTCGCCATTCCACGCATGCCGTAGCATCCTTTGTGAAGCGCCTGAGGTCTTGTACTTCTGTGTTATTTAGGGCTGCAATAACGGAAAGACTTGATGTGAAACCTTCCTTTCATCACCTCGTTTTCATCACTCTTTTTTTGTCCTTATCGCGACAGAAAGCATCCCTTCTAAAGAAACGGCATCCGAGGGTGAGGCTTTGATAAAGCCGCAGCTGCTCTGCTTCAAAAGTCTCGCCCCAAGTCACAATTTCTCCAACGTCACCGATCGGAAACTACGGCTGAGGCGCCGTCAGATTTACATACGAGCCTGCAGGCTCACAGAGACGCCGACAGGCCTTTGACTCGCTTCGGATGCAAGGCGAGATTTTCCAAGGGTTGGTCGTCTGCACACGGCATACCGACTCCAGCGCTCGCCTGCACAACGGGGTGATTGTTTGGGGCTTGAATTAGAAGAAAAAGTCTGTGGGTGGTAATGGGAAAGACTGAGATGACTGTCTCTCTAGGGAATCCTGACATCATACTGAAAGCATGTTGTGTTCGTCAATGGCTTCAAGTAGCCAGTAAATAAAGTCATCCGACTGGATGGCATTTAAAGCTGGACAGACATGAATATGGATACTGAACTGTGGAAACCATTGATAGAACTCCAAATGTATTTTATTCTGAGAACGTTATTCTCTAACTAGTATTAAATCAAAAATTTAAGGAGGTGGTTTATAGTTTCAAGGCTGTGTGCTGTTAAAAGAAAATTACATTTTATCTTATCTGCAGTGAAACCCTCTCTTGGCTTCTTTGCTTTCATGAACAAAATTTGTTTTTGTATGGGGGGTCCAAGATAAACCCCTTTTTACTCATCAAAAACAATCACAGCATTAATGAGAAAGCCATTTTACAAATCTCTAAGCCTCTGTAGCTCTTGCATCAGATTAGCACTCATGTCAAGTGCCTTACAAAAGTGTCCATGCCTCTTTCTGGTTTTCTTTCAATCAATGTATCGAGCTTATTTGCATAGCATATTTCAGCAACAAGACAGTTCAAAGTGCTTTACATAAAAATAAATAAATAAAAAACACACAAAAATACAAAGTCTTAAGAGCACTTTAAGGTCAAATGTCTGGTGTGGACTACAACACCGAAACACTATTATGTGTAAATTATCTTTTAATTATGAATTCTACAAACATTCACAAACAAATAACAAGATGAACTAGTTTTGAATCCGTCCCTACTTATTCATCACAGGACACGTCCTGAACCTGGAGGCGTATCAATCGGACTTTTCCTCGCCAATACCGATTTACAACCGTCTTATTGGTCTAATCCTTAGAATCCAATTGAAAAATAGTTGTTTGATAGAGACAGTACTTCTGAGAAAATTTACCTGCCATAATACATCAGGAACTGACTCTAATTTTCTAATTTTCTCTCATTTTTGGGGGACATTTTATACAACACCACCCCAAAAAGAGCAGTAGTGTATATGCAGTTGATTGATGTGTTTACAGGCTGAGCTGAGGGAGTTCTTACTATGGCTGCATTGACTGAACAAAAAGTCAGCCCATGAAGTCAGCAATCACTCACAGCTGTTTCTTAATGTATCTCTACCTTAATCTTGATCTGATTTTTCTTTTAAAAACCTGATTTTAAAAAATGCTCAATGGACAGACATTTGCAAATCGCAAAGGTATCCATTTTGAAAAAGTTGACCAATTTTGTTGACCCAATAGTGCGTCACTGAAAAAGCATTAAAGTAAAACAAGGACAAAGCCGAAATAAAATAGCATATGCTTCAATTACAAACCTACACAAAGAGAATGTGAATTAGAACTTTAATATATTTTCTTATGATTTATTGGATTAACGTCTGAGTGACAACCAATAAACTAATTTTACATGTCGGATTTGTTGCACATGGTCTAAACAGCCGACACCACCTCAACCTCACTCAGTGTGAGGTTTCTTGGGATCTATAAGCGAACAGAGTTTGTAAAAGCAATTCCATAATTAGACAGTCTGTCAATTCGTTCCAACAAAGCAAAGGCAGCAGGCAAATTGCTGGTGTGTGAGCGGGGGGACGCAGCGGTCGGGATAAATTATGCAGCTCAAAGTGGAGGAAAACCTGGAAGATGGCGTGCTGGGAAAATCTCCCTCTATAGGTGGGTTTTCATCAACGAGTCTCTTTCATTCTCTCACCCTGCACTTGCCAATTCACATTTTCGGTGAACCCAGCTTCCAATTAGAAGTGTCGAAGCTTGCTGAAGCTCGTTATGGCCTTTGATGCAACAATTACATCTATATTGTGAATGACAGTCAGATAAGGTGTCTTATGAGTTCAATTTTGAACACATTAAGGTAGTAGCTTTACTTGTCCTTTCTGGGGTTTTTTTTTTTTTTACAAACATCATGCCTGTGCTCAGAGTGAAGGAGGAGCGCATATTGATCAGTAAAATGCTAAAGTAGAAAGGTTGATAAAGTAGAAAGGTGCTTCGTTAGGTTTCTGTTGGCTAATGCATCCCACTTTACTGCAGATGATGGATTTAAGTGTTCCTCACCACAGCTCTGCTGCCTCACTCTCCAGTACAAATGTAGCTGACTGGAAATAAACACTGTTGGAAAAAAAAAAAAAAAGAGTTCCTGCTTCCCTCTTACTGTGCAGAGGATTTTTCTCATTAGGCTGCTTGAAATCCTTCCATTTCTTCATCCTCAGCCGTGAATGCTCAAAGCATTTTAATTCGGCAGCCCAACAATAAATTCTGTAGTGTGTAACAGAGGACTGCTGCTGCGTTGTCGCTCACATGAAAAATACTGTATACAGGATGAATTTGAAATGAAGGATTGCTAAAATTGAACCTTCACAGGAACAAGAAGTGGAAGAAACCAAGAAAAGGTCAGCCGGCAGAAGATGTGGTGCACAGTTAGGAAAGCGACGTCTCTGCCTTAAATGCATGCACATTTTTAACAGCTTCTATAATTATTTGCTTTGCATAAAAAGCAGCACAAGTGGTTTTTCAAGATGAAATATGTTGTTTCTAACTACGAGCAGCTAAAATTGTCTGGGACCACTAAATGTATGCACGCCGAGTGAATGCAGAGCCAATTAAGTGTGAAATCATCTCAAATGTGCAGGTACTAAAGAACTAAATGTCTATAATCGTAGATTTCTTGGAAGGAACACGACAGATAAATACCCAGTATTTGCTCTGCTAGCTAATGTGTCTGACCTGGTGGAGATCATTTCCCAGTTTGAACTCCTGGAAGTATCCGGGGGCTGCTGACGTGGCACGGATGGCCTGCCATAGCTGGTACTGGCAGCCCCCCAGGTAGTGGGAGCGCACCCCGGGCAGCAGGTTGTAGTTCCTGAAGACGTGCGCCTTCAGAGGAAGCCCCTGGTTCACAATGGTACTCACAGCTGCCACCTGTAGGTTTAGAAAACATCAACAGATATGGCTCTTTGAGTGTAAAGCTAATAAAAGAAGGCAGGACTAACAGGAGAGAAAAATAAAAAGATCTAAAGCTCACCTTGGGGCAATCAGGATTTCTTGACGTCTCCACTAAGATGTGGGAGCCCACTTTCTCCCTACAGATGGATAACAGCATGTCAATTTTCCTGATTCAGCTTGTTACATACAAAAATATATTATAGATTTTTTGTTTTTTTTTCTTTTTCTTTTTTCTCCACACTGAAATGTAAATAGGAAATGTGGTTTTCAAATGATTGTTTCATATATGACTTCATATAATAAAGGAAAAGAGGTGTTCAAACCAAACCATGTGGACAAGTAATTGCCTCCCTTGTCAAATCTAAAAACGATTGAATTTAGAAATCCCTCATGTTATGAGAACATAAAGAAGGCTAACAAATATTTCAAAAAGCAACACACCATACTCTGATTTACAAATTCTTAATTTTGTCAGAAAGAAAGAAGGAAAGAAAGAAAGAAGGAAACAAAGAAAATGTTCTAAAGCCCTAATATTTCAGGGTTCTAGAGCTGTGGGTCCATATATCAGCCAATATATAAGAATTCTTAATTCAATTAGAATTAAGATATTTTTTACTGGCTTATAGACCTGATTTTATGGTGACTCATCATCTCACCATTTTTATTTTATTTTATGGCCAATAAATAATAACACAGCTCTTCAGTGTCAATCAATAAGACTTGCAAAGATTTAGAAGAAAACAAAATTATTTGCCGTCCGGTTTTAACTCTAAATAACTAATAATATTTACTCAACGATGCACAACAGCAGTGAAACTGACTTGAGGATGTTCTCCCACGCTTCGCTGTCATAGAAAGCGTGGCTCCAGCCCATCTTCACGGTGCCTAAAATCACGTTCTGCTTGAAAACGTCTGAACCCAGCCTCCGGTACAGATCATCGCACTCTTTCACAGGGATTTGGATCACGCCCAGCATGAACCCTATGACAGCTCCTGAGGTAAAAACACATAAAACCATTAAAAAAAGGGAGGACTACACTGAAATATGATGCTGGATCGGTATATAATAAGAATTTAAAAGAGCTTCTGCATTTAATCCTGAATAAAGAACAACAGCCGAGCAAAATCTTCACTTACACAGTTAAAATTTCACATTGTAACTGTGAGAGAAGAGATTTAGATCTACGAGAATAATGTGGGGAATCAAACTGGGCAGATGTGGTAGAGATGAGCTTTAAATGAGCATAGTTTATCTGGCACACAGACCGCATTATTATCTGTCAACAAGCATTAAAACTTCGAGTACAACAACTCCTCCAACTGTTGGAGATTAAGGCTGAACCTTAAAAAACAGAGCTCAGCTTATAAAATGCTTGTGTTCAATCTGCTGCATGGCATAGAAGAAGTCTGAAAAAGGTCCACATCGCCCTCTTGTGGCATTTTCAGTTACTAAAGTGCAGTAAAACTATCTCAATAGTAGATCAATTTAAAAGTGGTTTCAACATTTTACGATTTTAATCTTTCCAGTAAATTTTAATAACATTCTGGAGATTTGCTCACAGAATTTATGCCTGTCAAATTATCTGTGTGAACAACAATTCATCAGACAAGATAATGCTGATGCTGGCCAAACATCCAACTGTGTGGCAAAGCATCACTTCACTGCTTTACGTAATGTTTTGAACACATTTAAACATCGAGGTCACTGCTGTCAGGGAAACTTAGGTCTAAACAAAAGCCGAGCCACAAATGGGTCACTTAGCGATCTGCACTGCCAGTTCAGCCAGTACCCTTCTTAGTGTCGAACTCTGCTTCCATAATCCACCAACATGCTTTCAGTCTGCACACTGTGAAATAGGGCAGAAGGACAACATACCTGTGCTGACACCACAAATATAGTCAAATAGTTCATAGATGGGTTTGCCAGTCAGGGCTTCCAGCTTCTGCAAGGTCTGAAGGGCAAGAACTCCCCTGAAGGAATAATGTCAGACACACAGGAAGGAGAACAAGGTCTATTGAAACAGAAAGCACTGACTAGACAGTTGAATATTTAGTCACTCAGGACACTATTTGATGCGTGACACATATTCAGCAGCAAAGAGAAGGAGAAAAAGAGCTAAATCTGTACCGTAAACCTCCTCCGTCTATGGACAGGATTCGTATCCCACGGCCTTTTACAGGTTTATTATAGCCAACCAAGGCAAGAGCTTCTCTGACTGCAGCCCTTAAGCCCGGGTCGTTGGCCTGCTCTAAACGCAGCAGACAAGGAATGACCTTCTCCTGGCAAATATGAAAGCGGAGAACAAAAGAGAGCAAAAATATGCTGTTCATCAACTATGGGAACAGAAATGGATGGACAAGCTATACAAAATCAAATATAGAGATGTCCAGAAGAAGGAACAGGTGGAGGAACATGACAACCACATCATGATGACCTCAGATCTGTCCTATCACGTAAATATAGAGTAAAATGTTGACGCCTTGTTAAATCTACTCCAGGAAGAATTGAGTCACTTCTAAAGGCCAAACAAATACAGTAGCAGTGTGTGCTAGTTTTGGCAGGCCATTTTAACAAAATAAATCTGCTACATATCTCAAATGGTGTCACTCGATTTATCATTTGAAATGTCCCTACATCTGTAATTACAGTTCAAGAAAGTGTGGTGAAGCCAATTTTATGTTAGTACAGCCTGCCGTACACCCATAGATTCCATTTAAATTACAATGGCAGATCACAATATCCATAGACAGTCTCTCATATTCACACAATGATATCCTGAACTAACAACTGATAACATTAATGATTATCGTATACATATAAAATGACAGTGAACTTGTTTTGACACACTGTAGTTCAGCAAACAACACAAAGCAATGAAATGAATCAAAACAAGTGGAACTCTTTACATAGCTGCTGAATAATAACAGAAACAGCCAGCATAAAATACTGCTCATCCAGCGGTGCAGATAGAAGAAAAAATAATTTAAAAATAGAATTCATGTCAGCCTTTTTTTTTTTAAATCAATGCAATTTTAAATCAGTTGGGCGTTTCTTATTGTGTTTCAAGACTAACATTAAAATAGATTAAATCTGTGTTTAATACAAAAAAGTTATATTGAATGGTCATAATATCCAAAAGATGAACAGATAAATGTCATATTACACTGAATGAGTGAGTTCATTCACTAAGCCTAAAAGCAAATCAGACTAATCTTTGATAGACAAACAACAACAGGCCTTAACAAGGGGAAGAGGAGACGGACTGTTGATCCCTCACCTTGACCGCTACACCACGGGTCTCTGGAAACTCCAGCAGATGGTAACTTAAGTCCTCCACCCTGCTGATGTAGACCCTGACGTCTGATGCTCTGTGGAGAGCCTGGACCAGAGCCCGGGTGCGGTTGTCCACACTCACCCTGGCTATGATCTGTTAGGCGGGAGAAAAACTGTTCCGACTTTGTGGTGTGTAATATCAATGTCACAACACATTAATTGAAATTGTTTCCTGTAATAAAATGACTTTTTTTTATTGTTTATGAGAAGTTTGGTTTTTCTTTTCAGCAGAAAACCTCTTAATTAATATATGAAGAACATGTGAATCATTTCATCTATTCATAGCTTATTAACTTCACTTTGCTATGACTAGTCATAGAAAAGTGAAGTTGTAGGTGTTTTCACATCTACAGCTTATGTACAGAATGTCTGGGAGGGGTTATTTTTGAAAACAGATTCTCAGAACTGGGAGACGATGTAAGCCCACCATCAGCTGACATACAGAGTGATGGGAGGGGGTGGAGGGTGGAGACACAGCGTAAACAGCAATAATATACTCACAACCATCATGCATGGGCACCATATTCTACTTAACTATAGGTAAATACCCAACCTAACACACACATAGCATCTCATCCTTGACTCCAAACACACAAAAGTTTAACATAAGAACACTGCTTGAGTAACAGTCTGTACTTAAAACACACGTTTGTTGCTGATCTACCTTCTCCCGTTGGAGCAGAAGTTTCTTGGCCTTCTCCTCTGCAGCAGTCTGCTCTCTGCTAATCGGGCTTTCAGTCGGTTTCACCGTCACAGCCTCAGGTTTCTTCTTCTCCTCTGTGGTGCTTTTAGACTCTCTGAATTTAGGGACAAGAGGAGCAATGTAGTTCCCAACAAACGCCTGCACAGTGGGAGCGGAATAGGACAGGTACTGTCCCAAACTCTTCTTGGAGGACGGCGGGGTGACCGAAGCGGCAGGGTCGGCCTTATCGGACACAGGTATGAGGTCGGAGGGTTGCTGAGGCTGAGAGGCAGGTGGGCTGTTGTTGGCATTGTCGCCTTTCTTGTCCTGAGTCTTTGCTCCGCTGCCAAAGTAAGAGTTGATGTGATGAGACAAGTAGCTGTAGGTCTCATCTAGGTTGGCTGAAAATGCGCTAGGATGGAAAAGTCCTGGAGTTTCTTTGGAAGTAGTGGTTTTGTTCCCATTGTTACTCTGAGGTGCAGGAAGATCCTCATCATGCTGTTTATTTGTAGCTTTGACAGTGGGAGAAACTTGTCTCAGCTTTTTATTACCAACGTCACGCACAGTGACAATCACAGGGGTGACAGTCACTTGAGCAGAACCAGCGTGAGTAGTGGAAGCAGTGCTCTTCCCATCAAATGCAGCGCGTGCAGAAGAACTGGGTGTAGTGGATACAGTGGGAGCAGGAGTGGGGGTGATTGCCTTTTCCTCAGGTTTTGCTGTAGATTCAACACTGGCCAGGAACTGTGTCTCTTCCTTTGGTTTCAGGCGAGAGATTTTGGACAGAAGCTGTGTATGCCTCCCACTTACAGCCTTTGAAACTGTGTCCAAAGTACTCCTGACCCGCGACATGTGCTGGCTCAGACCTGGAGGCCACCTGGAAGCTGAAGTATTCAAACACAGGGAGCTGGTGTGAAGTCCAAGTCGCTGCCTAACCTGGCTGGCTTTAAAAATCCATGCCTTCCTGCCTCTGGCCTTCAGATGATGGAAGTGCCTCAAGCTGAGGTAGCCAACAGGTTGATGCACATGGATCCTACAGGAGGAGGTGCCAAACAAGAGCAGTAAAGCCGCTGACCTGCGAGAATCAGTCTGGCATATAGAAGACGCCCTGTCTATTTTCACCCAGATATTTGGGCCCCATCTATGATTCATATTGTGTCAGAGGAAGAAGACAGACACCTTCCGATGAAATATTAGATCTACACGCACTGTCATTAACCTGCAAAAATGAACAACAAAGAAGCACAGATAGAAAAAAAGCACAAACCCAAAACAGAAATGACGAAACGGTAAGATAATGAAATTAGTGTTCGAGAATTTGTCGCCTTTACCGGGAGAAACAGATTAAATCTAACAGAAATCAACTGCAGATCAGATACTAGCTTAGCGCAACTTGCTAGTTTCAAAAAGGCCATTCGAGCCATAACAACTCATACCTGTTCTCTTATGTTGTCGTCCCAACATCCCAGAATTATTTCTTTGTCTCGCCCTCGTTTGTTTAGCCCTAAAAACTAAAACATAACCACCGTCCGAATGCATTGGACGTTATTTAACCGGACAATTTCTTGACTGACGATAGGGGTGACCGTCAAAAGAAAAACAACGCTCACGTGACGCTCTGTCTCCTTTTCTATTGGCTGTATAAAACTTGGCCCATAAAAGGAACTCACTGATTGGTTGAGAAAATTGTCCCACATTATTTAGTGGTCAGAGGCGGAGGGTACAGGGGCTAAAACCTTAGTGACAGTATAAGGAATGAAGTTTTGGTGATTAATCTCAGATGATATGCCTTTGCGTCCTCTACCCATAAAATGAACTTCTTATCGTAAAGACAAGTAGTCATCATAGTGCGTAGTTTTTTGAATAATTTGATGATACGCGAAGGTAATATTTTCAACAGTAGAGCTGGAAGTAATGATAGCAATGACCACTAGGAGTCGCAAAACAGATGTGAGGAATAGAAAACCAGCGAAGAAGAGAAGGAACTAACCGGGTTTTGAATGCTCTCCGTCAATAGTGTTCACTAATACCATTACATAATCATTATGTTTTGGGTAGATATCTAAAGATTCTGTGAAAGAGGACGCCGCTTGGCTTTCACAAAAGTGAGTGAGGTGAGCCTAACCTGAAGGAGTCCGTGAGAACAGTAGCTAATGTTAGCAGGTTATGCTAGGAGAGTTTGTATTACATCACCAAGAGAAAATCATTTGGGATGTTTTTTTTCACGTTGGTCCTATTTTCACTTGGACCAACTTCGAAAAATAAAGTTGTCAGTTTCTCATTAACCACAATAATTGCACTATCTAGTTCAAAATGACAAAATATCTATTATTATTTTTTTTTTTTTTTCTTGAATGCAGGGCACAGTGACGCCATGGCAGCTGTACAGTCTGTCCTGATGTTTGCAGTGTGCGTCCTCGTGATAACAGAGCTGATTCTCGCCAAGAAGGACTACTATGATATCCTGGGAGTGCCCAAAGGTGCCACTGAACGCCAGATAAAGAAGGCTTTCCACAGACTTGCAATGAAATTTCACCCCGACAAGAACAAGAGTCCAGATGCTGAACTAAGATTCAGAGAAATCGCTGAAGGTAAGCAGTTTCTGAAGCCTGACATATAGACACATGTATAAATGTATGCGTGTGTGTAAAATTAATAACAGGATTGTTATCAATCCTGCTCACATGTTCTCCAACCTTAGTGGATTTTCTAGTTGGGCTGCACAATATACTGTGATTTTAATGTCAATGCAATATCCATATTGTAAGGACTCACCTGGACTGCAATAAATGTTAGCAAATTATTTAACTTCCATGCATTCAGGGTTTGCATGTTTGCAATGTTTGGTGACACTAGTTGTTTAATCCAGTATTAAATGTTTCCCAAGAGAAAAAATTGGATCCTATATTGTTGGCAGCAGGAGTTGAACACGAAATGCTTGTCCATCATTTCTGTGTATGAACAATAATTTTGAAAACTATGTTTCTTTTCACAATCATGTGCCACTTGACATTTGTGTTTGAAATATGATAATCAAGGAGCATGAATACTTTTTGCAAGGCACTGTTAAAAAACATAGAGAAGCATCTTTGTGGGTTGATATAAAATGTGCCCGACGCCCTTTTTTTCTTTCCGTTGATATAACGGAATCCTGTAATTGTAACCTTTGTTGGTTTCTCAACCTTGTTGGCTGAATTATTTGTCACTTTGTTCGGTGCAGCTTATGAAGTTTTGTCCGACGAGAGCAGAAGAAGAGAGTACGATCAGTTCGGCGACCACATGTACACAGGGGAGACGCAAAGAGCAGGCACCCACCAGCCTTTCACCTTCAACTTTGATGACATGTTTAAGGACTTCAACATCTACAGCCAGAACAGACATTCTCGCCACAGGCGGCACTTCGACGAACACTCCAAATCCCACAAAGAGCCCCACAGCAGACGCAGGAGACACTTTCAGGGCGGCTTCGGGGCAGGGATCCTCGACGACATGTTTGACGACATGGACAGAATGTTCACTTTCGACAGACATGCCAAACAGACTGACGGCAGGTTTCACGGTACAACGAAGCAGCACTGCAGAACTGTAACCCAGCGCAGAGGAAACATGGTGACCACTTACACGGACTGCACTGCATCATAAGATAATTTATGACCTAAATTGCTTCAACAATTTAGGTCATAAATTGTAAAGCGGTGTTGTCAGGATTATTCAGCAGAAAGTGGGTTGTAAGCTCACACTCACTTTAGAGATAGTTTTGCTCTAAATTCAGATAAGCTTTATTGTGAATGAACTTACTGTTTGTGTAAGTTAAAAGTTTTTCTTCCTTTTGTTTTCATGAAGCAAGCACCTTGGGAGTTTTGACAAGAATTAATGTTACATCATTTATTTTTAGTCTAAGATCCACTTTGTCTTCAATTACAACTGAAGTTTTTCAAATGGAAATCAGGAATCACAATAATCTACCTTCCTCTGCATGTTGGTTATTTAAATGTTTGTTTCACCATTTTTTCCGCATCCTCTTGAATCACTCCTACATTGTATGGTGCCAGTAATGTTTTTTTTATGTATATATTTTTTATTGTTTCTGTCAATTTTTTTTGTTTCTGTTTTTTCCAGTGTACTTGGTGCAAAGTAATTTGTATATCTGTGAAACAGAAAACTCTAGTATCATAGATATGTTTTTGTGTCAGTGTTTACATCAAGTGGGGCAGTGGAACTGTAAGACTAAAACAATGCACCCTGAAGATGAGCTCTCAGTTCGTAGGCAGCAGGGCGTCCTGTCTCGGTTCTTGAAAACACTTCTTCCAAAGGATTGCTTTCTTTCCTTTTAACTTTAATCTTCTTATCAGACAGATCCTCAAGAGAGCTTGTTTGAATCGGGAGAAATGTTTTTGAAAACCTGGAAAGCATGTCCAACTGCTTTGTTTTGAGTCACTTGAATATGAGCTGTATAACCTAACATCTACACTGACTAATAAATCTATTAGGGCCAAGTAAATTCTTAGTACCATCCCAGCTTGTCCAGTGTTGGTAAATTTCTGTTTTTTATATATTGGTTTGTTACTGTAAAACATCTAAAGATAATTTAAATGTAAATCAATTGTATGAACAAAACTATTTATTGGTTTAAAGTTATGTTTTAATCACAGAAGAGATAAGTGAGTAGTTCAATTTAAAAACATTGATTTTATTTTATTTTTTTAACATTTTACCATAAATACACAATCCTGACAGCAGGGATTATACAGCAGTGAGACGTGGAGGTTGAACTGCTATACATTTCCCAGGTATTTTATTGTGAAGGGAAAACGCATTCAAAGCAGTGAACTCTTATTTTGACCCTCGACTCTCAGTTGAATTGAAAGAAACACGACCAAAAAACAAACCGTGAAAATAGATTTATTTAAAAAGTTTTGTTGTATTTACAGGAGCTGTTCCTGTTGTCAGTATTTTGTTTCAGTTTCAGCCTTCGTGTAAACAAGGATGAGATCATCTCAGATCATCTTCTGCGTGCAGAATTACAACTGCAACAGTTTTCACCGTTTAATCACAAAATGCTTCATCTCTGTCTGAGCTACGGTTGTTTTGCACAACGCCACACTTCAAGATTAATGCTGTAAGTGTAACAACTTAAACCGACCACTTTCTGCTTTCAGCAGCACAAACATGGACGTCTTTGTGTGCGACATGATCAGATGGGTTTGGATTCCTGAAGAAGAGAACCTGCACAGGCTTTATTTATGCAAATGCATCCCTCCGATCATAAAAACAGAATCGTCATGTAAACATGATCTCTAAGGCCTTGATTCAGACAAATCTAACTCCAAACACAAAAAAACTGCTGTAAAATATAAGATTTAAGACAATGCTTTCAAATGATTCAAATTAACACGCTAAACTACACAGCAGCGACTCAAATTATGAGCGTTATTCTCTTGAAGACATTCGTTGATTGCATCATCACCACTGACCCTGTAGTGTAGACCTGCTGCCCGAGTTCTGCTGAGTTTGGTTTCCAGCTTCGCTTCAGGAGAACGTGGCTGTGAGGACGGCCTCCTGCTGCTGCTGATGAAGGGTCCCGATGCCGACGGCGGGGGCGGGAAGAGCAGGGCGACTCGCCAACCGGAGCTGATGTGCAGACGAGAATGAGTCGTTTGTGAAACGGCAGGATGTTCTCGTTGAAAGCTACTTCACGCCAGTTTACCTTGCAGGCCAGCTGCTTCTCGAACCTGGGCGCCACGAAAGACCAGGGGCCCATGTTCTGAGGTTCCTCCTGACTCCAAATGAACTCTGGGAAGAGGAAACAAGCTCACTGTCTCATGGTGAATTTCTGCTGCTTCTCTTTTCTCCTTTTAAAATCAAGCTGCCTGACTTCGGTGTTTGCTGGCCTCAGAAAGCTGCAGGTTTCAACAAATCAAATTTAAGACCGTTTTAATGCTGCCTTGAATTAAATTAAGAAAGAGGCTCTAGATTTGCTTTGCTGTCATGATGGTGTGAGGGCGCGCCGCAGACGTGGTGCGTGTGCAGAAGATCCAACAACCCGACTGCAGAGTCTTGAGTCAAAGCAGCAGCTCGACAGCCGACAACAGCGAGAATTTAAGTGAGACGAGAAACAGGAACGCTTCCTTCTGCTGATGTAAGAGCAGGTAATGCTGCTCAACACGGATATGCATGTGAATTTGGGCTGGAAAATAAACCCCGCTTTGTTTTAATTCATCCTAATAATCAGACAAAATCTGATTGGCTTGTTTATAGCTTCAGGCTATAAATAAACCAAAAATGCAAAACAAAACTGAAGAGAAGTGGGAATGTATCCACATGATTGAGATTTGGAAAAAGGAACTTGTAAATGTTCAGGTTTTAGTTGCACAGTAAATCAAAAACATGGTACAATTCGACTCGCATGTGTAAATAAACGAAAACCTCATCTTTAAAGAGTGTGTTACGAGTCTATGGTGCGTGTGTGTGTGTGTGTGTGTGTGTGTGTGTGTGTGTGTGTGTGTGTGTGTGTGTGTGTGTGTGTGTGTGTCAGCGCGCAGTGGCTCTCTCTACCTTTAGCGTTCGGATACTTTCTGAGCTCCTGCTGCAGAGGCTC